GAAAGATCTGAAGTTCTTGATGCAGAGGATCAAAAGTTACATCCTTCAGTATGGATGAAATCTCAATATCAAGAAAATAAAAATCCTGACCATTGGACCATTAGGCAACATTATGATAGTTGGAGAAAAGATTGAAATTTTCAATTATTTCATCTTGCTTGGATCCACAGACAACACCCTTGGTACCAACAGTTTGGAGACTGAGAGATGTTTACCACTGGAAAAGTCTGCTGTTAGGGACCTCTCCAAAGTCCTGAAGAGCAATGATGTCAGTTTAAAGACCAAGGTGTACCTTATTCAAGCCACAGTTTTTCCAATCACTTGCATCTGAGACTGGACAATAAATAAGGATAAGAGAAGACGCATCAACACACTTGAATTGCGGTGTTGAAGAAGAGTGCTGAATATCTATGGACTGCCAAAAGAACAAACAGATATATCTTGGAGAAAGTGCAAGCAGAGTACTCTTTGGAAGTAAAGCTAGTAAACTTCATCTCACATATTTTGGACATATATGTTCACATATGTTATTAGGAGAGGCTTTTTCTTAGAACAACACATCATGCTTGAAAAGGTGGAGGGTTAGTAAGGAGAGAAAGACCCTCAATGAGATGAACTAATACAGTGTCTGTAACAATGGACTCAAAAGTTGAGGATGATAAAGATATTTGAGCTCAGATCTGTTGTTGATAGGGTTGCTATAAGTAATTGTCAACTTGATGGCTCATAACAAAAACATCCCACACCATAGTCACAATCTATGCTGCCCTTAAACCCATTGTTACAGTCAATGTGTCAGCACATATCCCGAGGTATCTTCTCTCTCACTGATAAGAATAGCATCCTTTTTCTGAGTTTGGTCCTTCTTTATAACTTGTCCCCAGATACATGTTAGGGAGTCTCACTCTTGCTTCTAAGGACTAACCTACCTGTGCTTTTTCCAAGATAGATCTGCCTATTCTTGGAGAGTTTACAGATTATTCCGTAATTGTGACCAACACCACAATTCAAAGGCAAATTCTTTGGTCTTCCTTTTTTTCTTCCATTTTTCACATGTATATGAAACAAGTGAAAATACCCTGGCTTGAATTAGGCACAGCCTAATCTGTAATGTGATGTTCAATAAGTAACATGACTATAAATAGAGAAAAGACTGAAGCTATCAATGATTTCATTTTACTTGAATCCACAATTAATGTCTCTAGAAGAAGCAGTATAGAAATCAAATCATGCATTGCATTGGGCATGTCAGCTTCCAGGGACTTCAATAAAATACTAAAAAGCAAATGTATCACTTTAAAGTAGTGACAGCAAGAAAAGTGATTAAATAAACGTTATTGGACTATTTTTATGTTATGTGATTGGTAACAACTGGTTTATATTACCATCTATCTACCACTCACTTTTCTGTGTCTTGAATTTTATCTTAATTGGATGTTTACTGCCTGCTTTCATCTCTGTTCTGTCTTGGCTTCTGCTCTGCCCATTGCACAGATTGGTTTTCCCAGACAATACCACTCAATGAAGTCTGAGTTATTTTTTCAAAGCTAACCTCAAATATAGCTTTCTTCAAGAAAACCTCTTTCTAGCTAGGGATGTTTCTAGCCTCTGAATTTTCATAATAATAATGTTGTGATAATAATGTGTTAATATTTATCTGATGCTTACATAAGCCAGTCAAGAATCCTGGTAGTACAATGGTTAGGCATTTAGCTGCTAACAGAAAGGCTGATGGTTCAAATCCTTGCCCCTGACCCCAGTTGCTGCACAGAAGAAAAGACCTAGTGATTTACTACCATAAATATTGTAGCACAGGAAGCTCTATTGGGTAGTTCTACTTTGTCACTTGGGGTTTCTATGAGTTGAAATCAATTCAATAGCAACTCATAGAAACAGCACATGCCAATCACTATCCTAAATAATTTATATATGTTGTTTTTTGTTGATTGCCTTCGAATTCAGCACAACTTATAGAGATCCTATGATTAAAGGCCTGAAGCCCCTCTACAACTATCAACATTTATCCAAGTTCATAGAATTTCTGGGGGCATGTTGTTTAAGAAGTGGATGCCACTCTTGCTTCCAAATCTGTCATAGTATGTTATTGTTGTTATGTGCTGTTGAGTTCCCTGCAATGTATATCGACCTATGTAAGTGAGGTGGAGCTTCAAAATCCTAGCCTCCAAGGAGAGACTTGATTTCGCCCTCCCCAAGACAGACTGATTTGTTTTCTTGGCAGTCCATGGTATGTTAAAGACTCTTTTCCCGCACCACAACTCAAAGGCATCTATTCTTCTTCCATAATCCTTAGTCATTGTGTAACTCTCTGAAGCATAATAAGTAATTGAGAAGACCATGGCCTGGTTGTATCTTTGTATTTAGACTGACATCGTTGCTCTTTAGCACTCCGGAGAGGTCCATGACAGCAGATATCCCCAGTGCAGTTTGTCTTTTGATTTCCTGACTGCTAGTGTTAAGAGTGTTGATTGTGGATTGGAGCAAGCTGTAATTGCTAACAACCTCAATCTTTTCTCCATCTATTATGATGCTGCCAATTGGTTCAGCAGTGAGAATCTTTGTCTTCTTGAAGTTGAGCTTCAATCCATATTGAAGACTACATTCCTTGCCCTTTTGCAGCAAGTGCTTCAGGTCTTCTTCAGTTTCAGCAAGCAAGGTTGTGTCATCTGCATATCATAGGTTGCTAATGAGTCTTCCTCCAATCTTAATGCCACAGTCCTCCTTGTAAAGCCCAGATGATCTGTTCTGCATACAGATTGAAAAGGTATGCGGACAGGATGCATCCCTGACTCACTCCTAAGAGATTTAATTCTCACATTAGTTCTATGAAGTGGACTCTCCTATCAACTTCATTAAGTGAAGTTGAGAAAGAACTGATGCCCAGAGAAGTATGGCACCAGGATTTTAATCTAGGTTTTCTGGCACCAAAGCTCCTCTTCTTAACCATTATGCCACTTTGAACACTTCTTAGATACCTGTGATATTCTCAACTCAAACTCGAATCCTTGTCATTGAGTTGGAATCGATTCATAACTGATCCTCTAGTTGATTTTCAGAGGCTGTAGATCACATGGGAGGAGACTGCCTCTCATTCTCCTGTGGAACTGCTAGTGGATGCAAACCACTTGCCTTTGGGTTGGCAGGGAATCTCCTTACACACTATGTACATTTTACTGCACACACTTCCTGTCTTCTACAAAAATATGTTAGCTTTTAGTTTTAGAATCCAATGATTCTGTTTTCCTAAATTTATTTTCCTTATTTAAATAAAACTTCCATTTATACCTGCATCATGCTACTATAGTGCTCAGTTTTACTTTTAAAGCTTATTTGGTTTGGAGAGGCTGCATTATATACATATGCTGGTACTTCCCCCCAAACACATAATATTTTCTTCAAAACAACTCATTTGTTTCTAATAAAGAAAACAGAGTGCAGATATATTGACAAGAAAGATGACATCCATTCACTGAATGCTTGCTTTGCGCCAGTCATTGGCTGTTTTTCACCCAATACTTCACTTAACCATGATAATATATAAGATGAGGAAGAATCCCGTGGATCAGTAGCTAAGAATTTGTCTGCTAACCAAAAGGTCAGTAGCATGACCCTGCCAACCTCTCTGTGGGAGGAAAATGTGGCTGTTTACATATCACATACAGCTTTGGAAATGCTATGGAGCAGTGTTTCCTGTCTGTTGGTGTCATTACAAGTTGGAATCAAATTGATAGCCCACAACAACAAATATGGCACAGTGGTTCTAATTCATATTTTACAAACAAGACTCAGAACAAGTAAGGAATTTTCTTAAGGTCACATGATAATGACAGACCAGATTTCCCATTTTGGTCTGTCTCATAGATAAGCACTTCCTCTCCAATCATATGCAGATGTATCTGATGAGTAGGTGGAGAAATATAATAGACTCAATTCTCTTGTTATGAGCCAACAGCTGAAATACTTTCAGGCCATAGAGATAAGAAGGGGCTTTGTAAGACAAAGGTCCTCAGATTCTTTGTAAATCAGCTATTGCAAGAATACTTTGGTAATTAAAAATAAGACTTTCTAACATGATCAACTATTCATTCCCAAAGGAAAAAGGTTTTGCTCCCTAAAGGAAATTTCTTGATGTCTACAGATATTTTTGTTTGTTGCAGTGGGGAGGAGGGTGCTACTGATATCCTAGTGGGCAGAAGTCTGGGAAGTGATAAAACATCCCATCATGTATAGTTTCGGTTTCTTGTAGTAATATGTTATACAACCCATTATATAGTTCATTAGTATAGAGCTTGAGACAACTTAGGCTACGATGAAATGAGAATGAAATATTTAACATATTAGAGATGGTGCTATGGAGCAGAATATACTGGGGAAAATGATACAATAATTAGAGGGACCCCAAGAAACGAGGTCACAAAGTGGATTGTTTTACAGAATTTATCTTGGCCATTACTTAACTTGATACTCAGAAAATAGGGTTGTACTGATAGACACACTTTGTGACAAGACAGTGCTTAGAAAGCATGATTAGAATGAGTTGTGTTGGCATTAGGTGTCAATGGGTTGACTATGATTCATAGCAACTTTATGACTGAAACCTTGCTGTATCCTGCGGCATCCACACAACCTCAATGCACAAGCTCATGGCTGCAGTCACTCTGTCAATCCCTCCTGTTGAAGGTCTTCCTCTCTTTTACTGATCCACTACTTTTTCCAAGCATGAACTAGAACCGAACCACTAAATTGATAAAATCCCAAGGGATAATCAGATGGGTGTGTCAGAGGCAGTGCGATTGGCACAGGATAGAGCAGGGTTTAGGCTGTTGTATATAGGGTCGCTATGAGTCGCAAGTGACTCGAAGGAACATAACAACAACAACAACAACAAACAACAACAGCACAATTAATGTTGGAATTTCCCATAACTATTTCTGGGAGACCTTCTCAGAAGAAAACTCATAAATAGGTGAAAAGCAACTTACAATATATGGTGGGTGTGATGATGTCACTTTCTAGCTCACTGACAGGGTTCTTCACTAGACAACTATAATTTCCAATGTCCCCTTTAGTCACTGGAGTAATATGAAGAGTCTCATTTTGAGGAGAAAAGAAGTAGGAGGAGCTGCTGTGGACAGGTTTCCCATTTTTCAGCCACTGGTAAACCAGCCGGGTACCACCTTCCACCAGGCATGTGAGGGTCATGTTCCCCACATACTCCACTGCCCCAGAGGATGGTTGAATCTGCACCACGGGCTTTGTGACAGGATCTGCAATATTAAGGGGAAGAAAATACTTTTGTTTACCCAGGGAATAATAATAAACTTCTTTCAAATGCTGACAACCTTCAGGAATAACTCCAAAGTTTTTCCACTTTGTAAATGTAGACAGTTTAGACAATAATTAAAGAAGAGAATAAAGAGGCATGACAAAATACTAAAGAAATCTTTTATAGTCACAGATAATCAAAGTCTAGAACTCTACTCTTCACAGATTTTGTAATGAAATACTTTATTAAAAATGTAATTAGAGGTAGAGAATCCAGCTTTCTGACTTGCTGGTTTTTTGTGTCTTCCCTAACTATTGTACAAATTTTTTGGTCTGCTCTTCCATTGACTTGTCCTAAAGTCCAAAAGCAGGTGGTAAGCAGTAGATAGAGTGGAACCCAAGATTTTTTTTCACCATCTGCAGTCTTACAGTGCATGTACGGAATGGTATGTGGTGGATTGTGGAGATGTTTTAGAGAAACACATAAGCATCACTTACTTTTCCTTCCATATAAGCAAACTAATTATACACTTTTAATTGATTTGTGTTTTGTATTGCAACATGTTAATCACTTTAAGAAACCAAAACTTACATTTCTAATACTGACTCAATCTGAAACAAGAATAAAATGTCTTATAGGATTTGTATGAAAATGCAGAAATGGGAAAAAAATAAAAATAAAAATTTCTCCTGCTACAGAAATGAAATGCCAAAGAAGGCATTTAATATTATTTGGTAAAAAGATTAATTACCAAGAATGATGAAATGTTTATACACTGAATTTTTACTTTAGAATTAATGGAAAGGAATTCTATAAATATGCATAAGTATCTTCAGCATCCTTCACTAATCTTTGAGATTTCTTACATTATTTGAAAAAAAAAGTGAAATATCTAAAAGTGGCAAAATAAAGAGCATTTTTGATCTAGCAGTTCTCTCTTGTGTCTAGGAGAGATGCTTCCTTAATAATCTCTGATGTTGTTGTTGTTGTTGTTATGTGCCATCGAGTCGCTTGCGACTCATAGAGACCCTATGTACAAGAGCTCTATGCCGTTCTATCCTGTGCCAACCTAGCCATCTCAAACGCACTCATTCCCACCACTCCACTCACAGAATTGATCCATTTCATTGAAGGTCTTCCTCTCCTGCGCCGCCCCTCTACCCTGCCAAATATGATGTCCCTCTCCAAGGACCAGTCCCTCCTTTAAACATGCCCAAAGTATGTCAGACGAAGCTTCAGAATCCTTGACTCCAAGGAGCATTCCGACTTCACCTTCTCCAGGACAAACCTGTTTGTTCTACTAGCAGTCCATGGTATATTCAACACTCTTCTCCAGCACCAAAGCTCAAAGGCATCAATTCTCTTTCTATCAACCCTATTCACTGTCCAACTCTCTGATACATAACACGTAATTGAGAAGACTATAGTCTGGATCAGGCGCACCTTAGTCTCCAGCCTGATGTTGTTGCTCTTCAGTACTCTTGCAAGGTCCCTCAGAGCTGACTTTCCCAATGCAATTCGTCTCTTGATTTCCTGGCTGCTGTTACCAAGAGTGTTGACTGTACACAGCAGGTAACATGTTAGGCTGCTAACATAAGGTCAGATGTTTGAATCTACCAAGTGCTCTATGGTGCAACAGTGGGAGATTTTCTCCCATATAAAGATTTACAGCTGTGGAAATCCAATGGAGGGCCATTATGAGTCAAATTTGTCTTGAAAGCAGTGGGATTTGTCTATGACTATAGGACACAAGAAATTCTAAGGAGCAACAATGTCAATGTAAAGACTAAGGGGTGTCTAATCTAATCTGTGATCTTTTCAATTACTTGTTATGTACCTGAAAGTTGGACAATGGATGACAGAAGAGTCACTGTCTTTGAGTTGTGGTATTGGAGAAGATTATTGAGCATCCAATGGACTGCCAAGAGAACAAATAGGTCTGTGTTGGAGAAAGTGAAACTGAGGTGCAACTTGGAGGCAAGAGTGATGAAACTCCATATCACATACTTTGTGTATGTTGTTAGAAAGTTCCAGTTCTTGGGAAAAGACACCTTGCTTGAAAATATGGAGGATCATTGAGAGAGAGGAAGACCCTTAGCAAGATGGATTGACATAGTGACTAACAATGAAATCAAGTATATCTGAGATGAAGACGGCACAAGTCAGGGGAGGGTACAGATCTACTTTTCATAGGGTCACTATTGGTCTGCTTGGACTTGAAAGCACCTTACAACAACAGGACACAAGAAGGATGAAGTGATATAGAAAGTACAGGCAATAGGCTCCATATTTAGAGTATCAATTTTCTAACTGGGGATGCTGCATCTCATTCAGATGAATCATCTTTACTCATGCTTACTTTCTCCCACATTGTAGCATCTATTTACCTGTTTATCTATCTAGTGGCCTAGTGGTAAAAAACTGCACTACACTCCTGAAGACACTCAGTTCAAATCCACCACATGCTCCATTGGAGAAGGATGGGAAATCTCCTCCTGTGAGATTAACTGCCTCTGAAAACCCACTGAAAGGTCAGCTATGGGTCCGTTCTGACTAAATAAATGGTAGTCAACAACTCAACAATGTCAATCTAGCTACCTGTCTGTCTATCTGTCTATTTATCTCTCTCTGCTTTTTCTTATTGTCTTTTAGTTAGCACTGACTCATAACTGACCCTCCAACAGATTTTTAGAGGCTGTAAATGGCATATGTGAGGAGACTGTCCATTTTTCTCCATGGAGCAGCTGGTGGATTCCAACTTCCTGCTGTTGGGTTGGTAGCACAACTTCTTACTTACTAGGCCACCAAAGCTCCCTTCCACAGAAGCAAGTCAATGATATGCTTTTAATTGTTTTATGTTCATATTTAACACTGTATCATAGACCCAATACTTAAGCTTAGAGAAGATATGAGAGAATGAAAGGTAAGAGTAAGGGAACTCAGTAGTTCTGAAACCACCAGCCTTTTCTAACATGAGTAAAATCAACTGAGTTCTATTTAATTTAATCTCTTTCCATCCTTAGCAATAACAAGGTAGTTGGAATAGCATCTGCTTACATTATTAGAATTTTAAAAGAAAATGTGTGTATTGTATAGAAGACGTTTGTGTTTTTCTCTTTTCAAACTATGTTTTGTGTGGAAATCTAAGGAAGACAGAATATGTGAAACAGAGAGTATGTCAACAGCCTTGGATGAGAACAATCATTAGGATGGTCACTGGTGTTATGATCAGCCACTTCCTAAAAATGTGTAATCAAAATGTAGGCGATTCCTATAAAGATATTTCTCTTTGTCCCCAAATGCCTATCAGGACCTCAAACAGACCTCACTTTATTAGAGACTAACAAATAATGGGGTTTCTATTTAAAGGATACAGCATATCACACAGGAAAATATTATCAACATCATCTCTAGAAAGTTCTCTCAAAATCCACTCTCTATGTACCTGCTGTGATAGCTTTAGGCACTGAGAAAACAAATAGTAAATAATATAAAGCTACAGTTTATGTAAGTCTTGTATTCTATGTAGGAAAGAGAAGCAAGCAAACAAAACCTATAACAAGTCCAGTGCAATGCGGAATTTGAAATTCACCCCCTCTCTGTGTATGAGAGAGAGGGAGAGAGGTAGAGGGAGAGAGAGAAGAAAAAAAGAGAGAGTCAGAGAGAGAGAGAGAGGAAAAGTGAGAGAGAGAGATTGAGATTGATTGATTATTCGTGACGGCCTAAGGAAAGGCTTCACAGTTGGAATGTTATTTGTGATAACACATAAAAGAAATAAGAGAGGGAAATGTGCTAACAAGTGGGATAAAGAATCTAAGAAGATTGAACAGCATATAAAGGTTTTAAATTATATGTTTAGCAACTTCTAGGAAGAACAAGAAGTATGAGGAAAGGAGGAGTAGGAAAAAGTCATATTCGTGAGAGGAGAGCCTACCAAGCTTTTTTGATCATTGTTAGTACATTGACTTTCATTCTGTACAAAATAGAAAGCTACTGGGAAATATTAAGTTACAAAGAACAGGAATAGAAGTTGGCTAATGGAATAATCTTGCTGAGGGCCCACTGTGGAATTAGTCCCTATAGTTGGGATGGTGGTGAAAACTTTTTTTATAGTTTGAAAGTAAAGCCAACAGGTCTTTCCTGTGGACCCAAAACAATAGAGTTGATATTTATGAAATTCAAAGAATATTACGAAGTAAGGAGAAAATCCATAGTTAAGTTTTGGTCATAAGACATTTGAAGAGTTCCACTTATATAATCAAATGATGAAAAGAAATATTTGAAAGTTAGTTGGCTCCAGGTTTCACCAAGGGATATTTCTAACAACTTCTATTGTTTCTTAAGTATGGTACTTTTATGAGTTTCATGTACTCTAAAATTTTTACCAAAATAAAAATCTTCATGTGACAAGAATAGGCCCTTTGCCACAGTACTAATGGGAAGGTAAGAAAGACTTTCTCCATATCATCATATCAGCAATTATACTTGACAGTTTCTAGGCAAAAGAAGAAATTCTTTTTACTGCTCCATTACCTTTTGCTTGGCATTGAGTATAGTACCTATATTTAATGTCATATTTAATCTCTCGAGAGCATCTTATGATATATAATATTATTAGAGTCCTGAAACAGAGATTTTTGAGGTTAAAGAATTTTCCCAAATTTGAAGTTGTTTTTACTGTTATGTGCCATTAAATTGGAACCAATTCATAGCTGACCCTTCAACAGATTGTCAGAGGCTCTAAACTGTATAGAAAATTGTCTTTCTTCCATGTAGCAACTGGTGGATTCAAACCACCTGCCACTGCTTTGTCCTTGCCCAGTAGGCTATCAGATTATCCTCAAAGTTGTAGAGCCAGGTGTAAATCCCTAGCCACCTAGATACCTGAGCAATTACTATTAGGCCACCCTGTTGCTCAGACATAGTTATAATGGACTCACCATCTACGGTGACTTGTATCTTCTGACTAGCTGAGAGTGTTCCATTTCCCTGAATGTTGACCTTCACGATGTAATTGCCTTCATCGGTGAACTGCAGTGGGTTGATGAGCAGAGATGCATTGGGGGGCATCATGGTGAACTTGTGCTGGTACTCCAGGTCAGGAACCACAGACTTATTCACAGAGCCCAGTAAGTATTTAGGCATTGTGTGGAGTCTCTCAAACAGCCATATGATCTGGATGTCTGAAGCCAAAGTTTGGAAACCATAGTTCACAGGGAGGTAGAGGGGCTGGCCCTTGACACCATGGATGGTGTGCGATGGTACTGTCACTGTCAGTCCCGAACAAGTACCTGCAAAAGAAAGGAATACTGTGAAGAGCCCAAGCCACATTTCAACATCTAGAGGGCAACAGAGGTGAGAACCCGATGGGCAAGAGTCCTTTTTGAGAAAGAAAGGCTTCCAGTTCCTGTCCATTCTAGTCCGAGTTCAGGCAGAGGTAAATATTTGCCTCTGAAACCCTCTGTATTTCACTAACTCCACCCAAAGAGTACAGCTCATTGCATGGCTTCCCTGAAGGCAAGATGAAAAGAAAAAGCAGAAGTTATTATCTACAACTGTTACAGAATAATGGGAAAAGGAGAACTAGAAAAGATTATATGTTCTAAAGTCCAATGAAACACTTGCCTCTACTAACATTGACTTTATTAATATGTAAATTGTATCATATCCTAACCAGACTCTATAGAGGGCTACTTCTTTCCAAAAATTGCCCCAAAGTTGGTGTCAGTCAGTGGCTTGCTATTTCACTACTGGCAGTTTCTTCCCTTGAGCCAAAGGCTTCAATGTAGATAATGTTTAAGAAAAATGTCATGAAACCATTATGAGTCAGGATCAGTACAACAACGCAAAGCCACAAAGTTCTAGTTCAGAGTTTTTACAAACACACTAATTATCACACAGTGAATATTTTTTTAATACATACTAACAGATATTTCTTGACTACTGGATTTTAGCATTTAATAATTAAATTATCTTACATTTTTAATTGTTCTACCTCCAAAATGTTTATTCTTCTTGATTGCTTCCTCCCCCCCATACTTTTCAAGGAAAAAGATCATTAATTTTGAGCATCTCAGTGTTAAAAAATAATATTAATCAATAAAAGAAACTGAGTGAAGCTATTTAAATTTTTAGTTGCAAATTGGAGAAACATTTACAATGAAGAGTAAAAATTATTACAGAGAAGAAGCACTTTTTATTGGTTTGCACACTTCAATTAATTGCTAGAAATCACACATTTTCATAGAAATAGGGTAAGAATAGTTTTAATATAACTGGTGGACATGCAGGATTCCATACAGCATTTTCTTGTAGAAAGTCAAAATAATTACTGACTGAACTCGGTTTCATAAGGACAAATACTGCATAAGGCCATTATTGTTAAAATAGAAGGATAGCTGGTAAAACATGTATGGGAACCCAAGGGAGGAAGGGTGGGAATTGAGGTGTGAGGATGGGTAGGGGCAAAACTACAGGGGTTGCACAGTTTGATGGATGCAGGGGAGGGAGGCAAGGAAATGAGAAGGATCCAGGTGAAAAGATAGGGTAACAATGGGAAAGGCCCAATGGTGATCAATTTTATAAAACATACTATCTGAGCATGATCGCAGGAGACATAGTATGAATGACGCATACTGTGAAACACAATGAATATGAACTTTATAAGCAAATCAATAAAAAAACCAAACCAAAATCTTTTCCCCAAGCCAACCACAGTTGCTATTCTTTAATTGGAATACTGTTAAAACAGATTGCATAGATAGTTCTTAAAAGACCAAAATGCCCAAGGCAAGCTTCATTTACTAATTAAGCTAAATTATTATTTGATTTAGAGACAGTTTTCAAGGGATTAGCTTCAGCTCAAGGTATAAGGTTCTAAGATAACCTCAAGGCAATAGCTTTGGGTGAGTTATTTCAACTTTGACGGTTCTAGAAATTCTGAGTTTTATGAGTATTAAACATTTTGTCCTTACTTAACAGTTCAAAAAGACAGTATTCTACCTCCTACCTCGATGAGGATCCACTGTTGTTAAATGTCTGGAAGCAGCCATCTAAAAGTACTACAATTGAACTCTCCCTGTCCAGAACAAAGAAGAAGGGAGAAAAGCAGATCAATTAGATTTAAAGACTTATGTTACTGTTGTTTTTTCAGGTGTCATTGACCCAAAGAACAACAGATTTGAACACTGTGCTATGCTGTGCCATCCTCACAATCTCTGACACACTCAATCCCATTGCTGCAGTCACCGTGTTAATCCTGGTTTAATCACCTGGGTAAGGGTTTCATCTCCTTCGGCATCTCACTATCTTCCCAAGCCGTATAGGAATCTTCAACTCCATAATCCTGAAACCTGATTTAGATCATACTCACTAACCACAGCTCACTGCTAACACCTCTAAAAGGAGTCACAGTAGAAGATCTTGGGTATCAGGCAAAACAAGTAGAGTTAAACAAACAAACAAAAGGCCAAACTTATTGACCTGAGAGCCTGGTGGAACCCCAAGACTGCAACCCTTAAGCTTCATTCCAAACTTGGAACAAATTCACCCCATGGTTCTACTTTCAGGGAAATAACAGACAGGCCTATCAGGAACAATAACACCAGGGAGGTATTCAGAATAATCAATCATATCAGGCCAAAAAGGTAGCATTTTCCCAGGTATAAAGCTAAGAAGGAATGAAGGAAGGGGTAGGATAGGATTCATGGAACCAAGAAGCACAGAAAGTGGGAAAATTGTGCTCGCAATAGTCTGAGTATTGTAATCAATATCACAAAACAAAACACGTATGAATGGTGGAATGGAAAACCAATTTGCCGGTAAACTATCACTCAAATCACAATAAAACAGGCAAACAAAAAATTATGCCCGCAAAAGCCAGGCAAGGAAAAAGCAATCAATATTAGAAAGAGAAGTTTGAGAGAGTCTATTTGCCTTTTACAGATGATTTCTCTGAGGAAACAGAAGGATGTAGGTGTGCTTATGTGAGGAATCAAGTTTCACCTAAAGTAAATTTTTCTCTTTGCTTTCCCAGGGTAGAGTTGGGAATGAGGGTTTCTGTGTTTTTTGGCTTCTGGCTCTCTGCAAAAAGTGCATGAGACCTTGGAGTATGCAGAGATGTTAGAGCAGAAAGTCTGGAGGAAGATACAAACATGAAGATGAGAGGAGGTTAGAAGGAAATGGAAGCAAATTCAACTGACACCGATTATATGGACTGAAAATGAGGAGTTCTGGTAGTGTAATCTCTAGGGAGTTGACTACTAGTTGTAAGGCTCAATGTCTCTGGCAGTTCAAAGCATCGACTTCTCCACAGGAGAAAGGTGAATAATCTTCTCCTATTCAGTTTATAGGACTGAAAACCCACTGGATGTTCTCACTTGACTGTGGTGAATGAGTGGCTCAGAGGGAAAAAGAGGAGTAATTTCCAGTTCTGTTTTAACCTCAGAAACCCAGTGAAAGGCCACTGTGAGTTGAAACCAATACAGTGGCAGTGAGGTTGAGTTCATGAAAAGAAAAAAAAAAAAAACCACTCTCAGTTTCTTTGGGCTCTGTATTTGTGATTGGTTTCCAACTTATTTACAACAGATGACTACAATATCAATATTTGTGATTTGGACAAGTAAAGGAGTTAAAAGATATGGGACCTTGCTTCTGTATTCCATTCTAGAATGTTACGAGGTACTAGAATGCTATACTTGAAGCTGTTTATAATTTGGATGATTAGAAAAAGAGGGAACAGGATGCTAAACACTCAAAAAAGGAGAGGATTGTACAGAATTAGGAAAGTCATTTTACTTCTCTGGAGTAAAGGCCTCTTTCTACTCTCTAAATTTATGTCTTGTGATATTGTCCAGGTAGCAGCTGTTTGTTTCTGGAGGGCCTATGTTTAATTCAAAGAGTTTAAAACATATGTTTAACAATTGTCAGTTTTCTAGTCTACTTATTACATTGCTAATCCCTGCCCTCTATATTTAAAGAAAGCTTCAATTCAGTGTGAAAATCCAAAGCCTTGTTTTGGGAATGGGATGACAAAAGCTGCAAGGCAGCTGTCTTAAATGCCTTCAGCGATTTTGGTGGAGAGCAGTTTGGCCACTGACATTACTCATTTTTATAAGACATTTCAAGTTCCACTTACAAACTACTGCCAAACCGAGATGGGGATCAACTGAATGCAATTCTCGCTAAACTGTTATTTAGGGCAGTCATTGCACAAGTACTCATTTTGTTTGTTTGTTTGCATATGTATTTATTTCTTTAGAGTGACTTTCCCCAGCCCCAAACTACCTTTGTAGCTGAAGTTGAAAAAGACTGTAATATTCTGGAAATGGCTAGAGACATTGTACTACCATGAAGAGCAAGGAACAGTTCAACAGCTCAGCCCACTGCCGCTCACTCAGTTTTGACTCTTAGGGACACTCCACTGGTTTTCCGATTTGCTCCCTCAGGAACTGATGGAGGATTTTAACCACTGGAGACTCATAGCCTTTTAGTAACTGAAACAGCTCACTTTGAATTATGTCACCAGAGCTTCTTGGCTAGTATCATCAGAACAGAAATATTAGTAACCTTTAGATCTTGAAATAAAATGTTGAATTTTAAGTAAGACTGGAGAAAATATGACTAAAGTAGTAGATGATAATTTTATTTAATATCTAAACAAATAGTGTAGATGAGAGGAAAATTAAGCTTGGAAACAGATTAAAATAAAACAAATATTGTAGACCAGGGAAAATGAAGCTATTGTGATAAGAAATTGCATTTTAAATAATTTTTAAAGGATAAAAATCAAATTTTTAGGATTATTTTAGAAAGTGTAACATGTAACAATATCCCAAATAATATGTTATTAACAATATCACTGAATATAGTAAATGTTTCTATAACAAGTTACAATAAAAAGTTTGTAAATGTGTGCTGTCTTGATATGTGTATGACAGTGAAAGACAGCATAGCTGTTACAGCAGCTTTTTGCTTAAAGACTATATCTTTAAAAAGAATTCAACAGATAAATTATAGCTAACAGGTTATAAGAATGTTAGCAAGAAATGAAATTTCTTTATACAGTATCTGATGTCAGGTCCTAACAACTTTTTATTTTGCAGGAAAGATACAAGTCTATTGAAATGATGCAATCCTTACTTTCATTGAAATGTGAGGAGTAAACAGATAGTTGGATTCTTCTACATTTAAGAAGCATATACTGTTGAACTGAGATATTTGTCAGTACAGATATGATCAATTCATGCTGTCAAAAGAGTAATTAACCATTTTTTTTTAAAAAAACCTCCTTCCTTTGGAGAACGTTTTCAAAAGTTCTTTATTTATGTGTTGTTATGTGCATCAGAGCTGGACAATGACTATGGAGGGCATAAGAAGAATCAATGCCTTTGAGTTATGGTGTTGAAGATTATTGAACATACACCATGGGTTGCCAAGAGAACAAACAGGTCTTCCCTGGAGAGGGAGAAGCCAACTTGCTCCTTGGAGGCAAGAATTGTGAAACTTTAGCTTATATACTTGGGGCATGTTGCCAGGAGAGACCAGTTCTTGGAGCAGGACATCATACTTGGAAGAATGGAAGGATAGCACAAGAGGGGAAGATCCTGGAGGAGATGGATTGACACTGCAACCGGAGCCATGGGAGATAGGTGTGTCAGAGACAGTGATAGGGCAGGGTTCACAGCTACAGGTGCATAGAGTCACTATGAGTCACAGGTGACTCGACTGCACATAACATGTGCAGTTGAGTTGAGTATGACTCCTAGCAACACTATGAACAGACCTGATCCCTGACCTATCCTGTGCCAGCCTCAGCATCTCTAACACAGTCAAACCCATTGCTGCCATCACTGCGTCAGTACATCTGGTTGAGTGCCTTTCTCTCCTTCACTGACCCCTCACCTTTCCAAGCATGATATCTCTCCAAGGAACATGGGCTGTGTGAGACAAAGCTCCACCCTTATCTCCAAGATGCAAAGAATTAAAAAGATTTAAAAAAAATAAACTTTTTGGTGCAACAAGTGAACCTCAATAACAGAAATTCTATAAAACTGATGAATTTTAAAATTTCTTTTTCAGTCAACATGTTGGACTTAATGGAACTTAAATTTTAATATATTTTATATTTTATTATAGTGAAGCCTATGAGAGCTAGAATTGACGGGTCTGGCTTGTTTTTTCCAAGTTTTGCATTTTCTGCTCTTGACGTGGTGCAGTCTCCACTTTTCTATTTGCTCTCTAGTTAGTGAAAATTACTTGTATTATCCTTTTTTTACTAGTTCCCTCCTCATAGAGGTTCCAGATTTCACAGGTTTTATGGTAGAAAGTTGAGTATTATTAAATTGGCTAATACATTTTTAAAGGAGTCCTGGTCGTGTAATGATTAAATGCTTGGCTGCTAATCAAACGTTGGTTGTTTCAATCCACCCAGTAGCTCTATGAGAAAGAAATCTAGAGATTTGTTTCCATTTGCAGTCAAGAAAGCCATGTCAAACGTGGTCCATGTGAACCAAACCAACTTGACAGAATCTACAACCAGTAAGACTTTAGTACTAAAAAGGAAACTCGGGCTTTCCTTATCTACGGTATCTGCTGGCAGGGTCTGTAGAGTGTGACTTTGCTAACCCAAAGGTAGCACCTATCTGGTGGTTCAAATTCACCGACAGGTCTGTAGGAGAAAGATGGACAGTCTTCTTTCTGATTTACAACCTCAGAAAAACCCCTGCAGGGTCAGCTATGAGTCAGTTCCCACTTGAGAGCAATGAATAAACAAGGAAAATTGATAATTCCAAAGAGAGAAAGATGCTCAACAAAATGGATTGACACAGGGCCCGATGGAAACAATGGGCTCAAGCCTCTGAGACTGTGAGGATGGTGCCTGATAGGGCAAATTTTAGGTCTGCTGTTCATAGGCTTGCTATGGGCCACAGTCGACTTGATGGCACTTAACAACACAGTTGTGGCCCACTTGTGCGTGTGACTTGTAGCACTTAAGGTGTCTTTGCTAACTTCATATTTTCCTTTATTTTTAAAAGGGAAGAACACACATTTGCACTTTAAAAAATGGGATCTATTTTGAGTAATATTGCACGAGTTCCTTGTTTTTCAATGCAGCATAGTATTCCATTGTGCGAATATACCACAGCTTCTCTACCCATTCGTTTGTTGATGGG